TAAATCTCTCTAATCTTGAACATCCTTGTTGTTTTTATTCTCTGACAAAAATTGGGAAATTACCAGCACTCAGAGCATTCATATTTACAAATCTAGCACCCTCTTTCATCCAATAATGAAATTATTACTCTAATATTAATATTCATGATAAAATCTCAACTCTTATACAAATTTTATAAATAGCATTATTTTGAGTACATTATAATTAATTATCCCAAGAGATTGTCACAGCTAACTCTTACAGATTAAACATCTTAACCATTGTTGTCAAGAGAGTTGGATCTGGATTTGTTAATGCTAAACCTTGAACCAAGGGGCGTTGAAACAGGAGGGGGGCAGCTCTAGAGCCATAATTTCCCCTATAAAATTATGGTATATTTATCTTTTATATTGTCATGCCATCATCTTATCTTTGTATTTTAACATATTTTGTCTAAGATAAAGACAACAAGGGCCATATTTTCCTCCAGAAAAGTTCGTCCTGAAAACCTTATCTGTATTACTTACTGACTTATTTAGTATTATATGACGTCAGAGCTTGAGATTATATGATTGATAATTGCAATGCCAGCGCATTGGATTGGTTTTGAGAAGAAAATTTTATTCTACATGCATATCATTTAATATATATATATATATATATATATATACATCTAGTATTTAAAATTAATTTTGAAATATTTATTAATTATGTATGAAAAGATGAATTTCACTTTGTTTTATATAAAATAATGATATTTTTTGTGACATAAAAAGATATAAAGAATATAAATGTAAAAAATGAAATTTAGATATTAGATAAACTTATACATAGAGATTAAGTGATGTGCGTTTCGAGGCTTGTTGTTGGTCTGTTGTTAGAGAAGTCTCTATGAATGTCGTAAATCCCCTCATGTCACGGGTTTCAGAAAGCTAGTTTTATGGTTTTTATAGATTTATGGCACTTAATCTCTATTTCTTTAAAATTATTTTTTATATATTTATTTTTTAAAAAAGAAATAGCCGGAGGCTATTAGATGATGTGTGCTAAATATTCGAGTAACGCAGTGTTCTTATTAGAATGTGTTTGAAATACCTTATAATTGTTTGTTGTTATTCAAATTCGATCAAAACGATCAAATTCTAAATTCAACCAAAAATGAATCTAGGAGTGAACTTTAAATTCATAAAAACTTCACATTATACTTGCACTAGTTCATACCAAACATATAATTTTTCAAATTCATATACATGAATTACAGTACATCACAACCAAACAGGCCCTAAAGCATCCGAACAAATTTCGAAGGATTGAAAGATAGTCTAGGCTCAAGTAAATTAGTATTAGTATGCCTATAATGAACGAAATCTAGAATTAATTCATGATATTGTTCACCAATTTGAAAATTTCTAAGCTAAATGGGTGAAGTAGAATCAAACTATTTTATGACTTGTTTTGAGATATTAGAAGCTACCAACTGGCTGAAAGGTTTGATGTGCTCAAATATGGAGGGGCAGCTTAGGATTATGTTTTCTGATTTGAAACAAAATATATTTGTTATGTTTGATTAAGATATGTTTGTCTTTGAAAACACTAAAAACACCTAAATATTGTATTGACTGTTTCAAAAATATGTTAAATTATTTTTAAAAACAAAAATATAAATATGTAAAAAAAAACATACCAAACACATATGTATTTGCAAAGAAAATAAAAAAATAAACCTAAAAACAAAAAACAAAATTGATCCCAACCAAGCCCGCATCATATTGGTTGAAGATGAAGTAAAAAATCTCAAAATATTGGGTTCAAATGTTGCCCCAACCTGAAATAAAAAAGGTCTTAGGTTCGATCATTGCCTGCACAATAATAAGCTCCTATTTTTTTGCAGATGGTGGGTTCAAAGTCTTCTATATGTGTTGTAAGCGACTGAGTTTGCAATTAAAAAGTTAATTCAAAGTCACAAAATAGCTATTATTTGCAAAATCATAATTTACTTTTAAGAAAACATCCAGTATATGCAAAGAATCAACGAATAAAGAGAACAACTTTACATCCTTATCAATTAAGAGAAGAAGCAGTATATGGCAGGAATAATGCAGGCATCAAAGAGAATCACAATGGATATTTCCATAAAATCCTTACTTTATTTGGGTTGCACGACCTAAAATTGAATTTTTTTTGTTTCAAAAACAGGGTTTTCATTATTCTTACGCTGAAAGTCTACTCCTTTTTTAAAAGGAAACCAGCATATAGTTATAGGTCAATTTTCATTACAATTCTGCAACAAAACATTACATTGGTAACCAAAAATTCAAAGTCATGCATATAATTCGGTAATCCCATGACAATAATGAAAGTTTCTATTTTTTAACAAGTAATTGCGGGAAGAAATTAAAGTTTCTCGAATCAACCTCGGCAACATGTTTAAGGAGAAAAAGAAATCATGGAGGTTTCCTATTCAGAATTTCACAACAAAATTAAGGAGAAATGCAACAAACCACCAATAGAACAACAAAATTGAACTGATGCAAAAAAAGATTTACAGAAAAATCATCTTTCACAATTCTATGAATCCTAAAACAAGAAATTCATCTTCAACCTTGATCAAATAATACAAGTTTTATGTAAATTGACTTCCTTGTACATCAGTGATCACTCAGAATAGATCAAGTACAGATTTTTAGTAAACAGATCAAATAAAAGATTCGGAATCCAGAAGCGAAAAATATTTCTCACCGCATCTCAGTTGCCTTTCTCATCATCGTCGTCTTCCTGACGGATTTGTAAGTATGTAACAGAGAGTTGACCCCATAGCCAGTCTTAAGCTCCGGTCTAGACGACGATGAACAGTCGATTAATCCGTTCAGTCAGTCGTACTTCTCTCTCCATGAATAAACGAGGAAAAACAACCAGGATAGACTGAGAACAACGTCGCCAACTAGCTGGCGAGGCCAGTCGCGGGCGAGATCCTCCAGGTGCCTCTCAAAGCTGATGCGCCAAAGGGCCATGAAAACATGGAGAAGGATGCAGCCTTTAGCGAAGAAAGTCTGAAAGTCGCGGTCCTTGACGAAGGAAACCATGAAGAGGAGGAATCCTATGGCAAACAATAGCAATCCCGCGAAGGAGTCCGAGATCTGGATCAGGAGCTGATCGTGAGGCGTCGAGCCCTGCAGTTTCCTTGCAGTCTCCGGCCCGTGACCAAACACAGAGATTTCGTTCAGGTAGAACATCATCAGTGCTCCGCACGTCGTCGCTACCGCCGAATGAAGCAAGCAGATGGCGAAGAACGCCGATGAAGGAGGCGATACGGTAGGGTGAGCGGAGCCGTAACCCTAACCCTAGGGCCGTGGAGGATAAGAGGGACTGGGTGTCTCGAGAGCATTTGGACCCGGAAAGGGCGAGTACTGTGCAGGGAATTCGATGTAGCGATTTGCTGCGCGATCGTCGTCTTCTTCGCAGTAATCGAGACAGAGAGGATGATGGGTCCGGGGAAAATCATGCAGGGAAAATATTAACTGGAAAAATAGAGGATTTGTTCATGTACGGAAAAATAGGGATTTGTTCATGTAAAAATTCATTCAAATTAGTTAAATTAGTTAAATTGAGATAAACAATAAAAATTTATTTTATGTAAACAATAAGATTTTATTTTTATTTTTTAATTTAAAAATAAAATTTTATTATATTTTATATTAATATTTTTAAAAATAAGCGGGAGCTAATATATGGTAACTTAATATAGATATCAATATTAATTAAATATACTTTCTCTTTATTCATTTATTTCAATGATTTAGTTTGTTAGTATTAATTTATATTATTTAATTGTAAGAAAATTTGTTTGTTATTTTTATTTTAACTTATTTAATTAATGTAAAATTTTTAAATAATAAATTTGAATTTATCTATTTAGATTTGTAAAAATATTTATTAATAACTTTATATATATAATTAAATACTTGTTCTAACTTTTAACTTGATTATTAACTCTTTTAAGTAATGGTTCTATTGATACATCAAGCCAAGTATTAGTTAAGTGCAATTATTTAATAAATTTAAACAAGAATTAATAGACAAGTGAAAGCTCGACTGAGCTCGAGCCGAGCATGAACAACTTGTAATTTGACCAATCCAATCTAAGCCATACTCAGCTCGAAACGGCTTGATTGCAACCCTAATTGTTATATTGGAAAATTCATCAAACATGACAAGAATGTCTATTAAACTAAAATCATGACTATTCCACCTCCAAATTTAAAGAATTGATGAAACATACTCAAAGACATCTAATGTAGTATGATTTGAACCCAAATGAGGCCAAAAAAATTATATAAAATGTGGTTAAAAATTTTCAAAGATTAATTAAGGGATTAAATAATTTCTAAATCAAACATCCTTACATTGAAATTTAGTGTCTTAATAATAAAATTCCAACTTGCTAAAATATTATTCAGTAATGATCTAATTTAGGAACTTAAGCACTAATAAATAATTTAAAATCAAATAAATCAATATAGGTTATCCAATAGAAAGTTGTAAGTGTTTACCCAAATAATTAAAATATCACCCAAAAAACTATAGAGATATACCAAACTAAGCCCAAATGACATCAAAATATCACTCGCCAATTTTAGTGAATTGATAAAATAATTTCAATGGTATCAAAAGTAGTTTGAACTGAACAAAGGAGCCCAAATTAATTATATAAAAGTGGATAGAAGCTATTAAAAATTAATTGAAAATTATACACTTTTTGAACTATGCATACTCTTATTCAAATTAAGTGTCTCAATAATACAAATCCAACTAGTCAAATATCACTTAATTGTAATGTAATTAATGTACTTAAGGGACAATAAATAATTTATGATAGCATAAATCAATATAAAATGTTCAATAGAATGTTTTAGAACGTTAGTCAAAACAGTAAAAGTAACACTCTTAAAAACTATTATCTGATGGTCGTCATTCGAACATCATCTTTTAATTATTATCATTCCCCTATCATATCTCAGTCATAATATTCAAAACATTATCGTCAACTTGTCAACTTATCAGCTATCTTCACTTGACTACCCTCACGCCATCACTCTCCCCATTTAAAATTTTTTTTTCCAAGCTATTATAATATCCTCAACCAAAGCGAGGAGAGACACAGAGTGAGAAAAAGAGGGCGAGGATAAAAAAAGATAGGTTTCAAACATCTTAACGGCTCTTTTATGAGATAGGTTCGTTAAAAAAGGGTTTAAACTTCACTTCAATATAAGCAACTTTTACTATCTAATTGTTTTAAGTGTTGCATGATTTTTCTCTATTTTATATTAATAAAATTAGATATTTCAATTATGTAACTTTGAATATGTTATTATTCATATATTGGCATGATCATATTAATTT